ATGTATTTTCTTTAAACTTGGCAAAATTGTATTTGCAAACGGTCTTGACAGGTTTCTCTCAGGACAAAGCTTTCCGGCACACCCTTTGTTTCATTCCTAGATATAGATCCGCCACTGTTTTTTCTTTCTTCAATTTGATTCATATGGGGAAAAGTTTAACCAGTACTTGCCTGTATTCTATTGGGGCTTCCCAGACACCTCCCCACGTTCCCCTCTGGTTTGCTTCCAGTTTGTACTTGAAAGTCTTCGAGGCGCTGATATCCTTTATGCTGTCAGCAAAACCTTAGTAAATAATCAGAAACAAGAGTAACGGTTGAGATAGGTAGGTTTCTCCCATCGCAGTACAGAAAATCACAACTGCAATATGTCCGATTGCCGGATTTCATTTGACGTCATTTCCTGTCTCGTGCGGTTTTTAAATCAGCTAAATCACAAGTTTACAATAGAATTCTTTCTGGTTGACAACACATGGCAAGTGCTCAGTGTTTGACCACCATTTTGAGCAGAGATTCAAATACCTTTACAATCAGAAAATGATGAACAATTAAGATACTAATGTATTAGTAACAACTTATTACTTATAATTATATATTATTATAACTAATAATATGTATTACCTAATATCGAGTAGTCATTGGTCAGTGAGGGTGTGTTGACGTTTCTCTCTTTGACTTCACTGGCGCGCCAGTTCCCATGGGCACTGGTAACTAGTAAAGTGTAGGCACCAGGCTCCGATGTCATGTCACAATAAACAGGCAAATAAACCTGGTTTTCCCTCAGTTTTATCATGTAGAAACCATCGGTTAATGTCTTGCCTTTTCTTTCTCCTCTTACTTTGATTTCGTTACAAGATCGACTGCAAAGAAAGGAGAAATTATATGATTTCAAACTAAGCGTTAATGTCAAGTTAAATGCCGTATGCAAATCTTTAAAAGTCGTTTGCATACAATGCATCCAGATGCAGTGCTCATTTCGTCTAACGAATGTCAATTGGTGCTTATTTTTCAGCGCAAATGAAAATACCCCAATTGAGATTTGCGCTATATAAATTCAATAAATCATTATTATTATTATTAATTATCATTTTTTATGCTGAAAATTAATACTGAGGTGTGAAAGAACTGTTTCGACCTCAAAACGACAAGTTATAGAAAAATATCTATTGCAACCTTTTTCAAGCTATTTTGGTATATGATCAGTCTTATTTGTACCCAATGAGTGCGCGCTTTACAGAAAGCCACAAACGCGCCGGGGAAACTTAAAGGAAACCCCCAAGGAATTCGGCGCGCGCACATTGTTTGATCACGTGTGGGTAGGGGAGCATGCTAGAGTCATAATGTTAAAGTTAAATTACTTTCGCTTATCAAATTGACCGTTTAAGAATCATTATCTCACCTTGTGCCCTCTCTTACCCAGACTCTTATAAACCTTGGCCTAGGTTTGCCATTGTTAATATACTCTCCCTGTGTTGATGTTGATAAGATTGTCCCGGCAGAATCAGTCACTGAAGTGGTGTACGAGTTTGATTGCTTAATGTAAGGAACTCTTTTGTTCAGACTCTCTTTACTTTCATCCCAATCGCCAAATTTCTGGAGAAGTTGAATATTGGTTTGTTTGCTGGATGATGAAGTTAAGGAATAGCCTCCTTTTGCTTCCCATATTCCGCCCCACATATCATCGCCATCAGCTTCGATTCGATACTGAAAAAAAAGTATCACAATATAAATCATTAACTGCACTCGACTTTTGCTCGTGTTTTTGCGCACTTTAGCCGCGCCCTGACTTTTGTCAGCCTACAGGTCGTTTTTTCTTCAGGGTAGCGACAAAATGTGAGCATTTGAGGGTTGGGAATAAGGGTACAAAACCAAGCAGTAGAATTTTGCGCTTGAAATGATCCAAAAGGACGTCTTTGCAGGTGTCGGAAAGTGGTGGAAGTACAATGACTTGACTTTCCTACCTGAAATTCATCGTTATTGATAATTGCTTTATTGCTTCCCAGTATCGAAAAGTCGCTGTTAAGAGACGGTGTGTCTGTGTTTCTCTCAAGGATGTTAGTGCGTGACCATCCACGCCGAGAGGTACTGGTAAGGAGTAGTGTCCATGCTCCGCCGTTGCGTGACATGTCACAGTAGGTTTGAACATGTTTGTTGCCATTTCTAAGTGTGTAGATACCATCTAATAATATATTAAGATGTATTAGAAACTAGGGATGGATGGATGGATGGATGGATAGATGGATAGATGGACGGATGGATGGATGGATGGATGGATGGATGGATGGATGGATGGATGGATGGATG